CAGGGACAAGGCAGGGCCAGGACGAGGGAGTTGGAGTGACCTGAGTGATTCTGAGTGAATCTGAGAGAGGTGAGTCTTGAGCACAAGCAACAGCTGGTAAGTTCAGTGTACCACACCTTGGTTTCTAACTGTGCTCCCTCTTTCTTGCTGGAGTGGGAAGGTAAGCAGAAAGTGACAGAAAAGGCAGCCTGCGGGTACTCACTACTGTCATGGCATACATGCCCCATTCTGCAGGCACTCTGTCTGGGCTAAGCCCAGACAGTTCCAGAACTGACGAGGTGTCTAGCTCAGGCAAAACCCCCTGTGCTGGCCCCAGCATAGCTCAACCCCTGAGCAGGAAACCACCTCTACCCTGAATCCCTGTTTCCCCCTGAAGCCTTCTTCAAGCCCATAGGGAACTCTGCCTTTCTCAACTTGGCACTTACTGTCTGCGCTATTTTGATGTGTTAATTTTATTATTATTATTTTTGAGTTGAGGTCTCATTCTGGCACAGCCTCGACCTCCTGAGCTCAGGTGGTTCTCCTACCTCAGCCTCCCGAGTAGCTTGGACTACAGGCACATGCCACCATGCCTGGCTTATATTTTTATTTCTCTGTAGAGGTAAGATCTTGCTGTGTTGCCTTAGGCTGGTCTTGAACTCCAGGGTTCAAGCAATCCTCTCACCTTGCCTCCCTAAGTGCTGGGATTTCAGGCATGAGCCACTGCACCTGGCTAATTTTATTAATTTTTGAATAGGTAATAAGTAGTCAGAATACACAAGGATATTCAGTGAAGGTCTTTTTCCTGCTCCTGAACCCTCCCTGGACAGGTGCTTTGTTGGCCCAGTGCTCACTTGTTCTCCAACAAGATCAAGGAGTCCCTTGGGGAAAGAAACTGAACCTCATACCCCTTGGTGTCCCTGTGTCTGGATGGGGTAAACAGTCCAGCCCATCACCCACAAGAGTCTTCTCAGCACCACCTCCCTCCTCCATGTATCTTGGGTCAGACCCCAAACCGCTTGTCATTGACCACCCAGCTCCAAGCAGGTCCCTCTCCTGGACACCCTCCACTGCCTGTCATTCTGTCTTGCTGTCATGCCAGGCTTCCAGCTAATCACTTATCGCTCCCCATGCCTCAGGTCAAGGGCAAACTCTTTGGCCTGATGACCAAGGCCCTCAGACTTGGCTTCAGCCGCCTCTGCAGGCCCGTCAACTGCTACTCCTGTCGGACTTCATACTCCCACCACACCCAACTGCTTGTGGCTCTCTGATTGGCCATGCCATCTTCCACCTGCAGGCCTTTGTATGCACTGTTCCTTCTGCCTGAAATGTGTTCACCTCACCTGGCCAACTCCTACTTGCGGGTCAGTGTACGGTCCAAGTTTCTTCCCCCGTGGGACTTCTTCCAAGATTTGCCTTCTCCCAATTTGCTGAGTTTCCTATACTCCCCCACCCTCTGCTCTCTCATGCTGCTGGGTAATCTCTGTTTAAAATCTGACTCTGAGCCGGGCTCGGTGGCTCAGCCTGTAATCCTGTGCCTTGGGAGGCTGAGGTGAGTGGATTGCCTGAGCCCACGGGTTCAAGACCCACCTGGGCCACTTGGCGAGACCTCATCTCTACAATAAATCAAAAATTAGCTGGGCGTGG